ACAATCAGATACATAGTACATTGTATATATCTCATAGAAAAAAATAACTATTTCTACTTAATGACTGCAAAAGCAATATTATATAAGTCGATAAGAACAAAGAAAACGCCGATCATTGTTTTAATATTGAAAACATTCAATAGATATAAATGGGTATCACAATCTATGGCAAGTTCGTTTACCAACATTTCAGATTAAGTCAATTAATCGATGTATTTTGTTTTATTCAGTGTCCTTATCTAACGTTATTATCAATCTACGGTAAACAATTTAAAACACACACCGCTTGTTTGGATCGCGCGAAGGGTAATTAAATAAACTATTTATCAATTCTATCGTATATAACTTTAACAATGTAAGCAATGATCATATAGGCAGATAGTTCCCCTTATACATGCAATATATCGTTGCTATGAAAGAACTTACAATGGATTTTCTAAAGGCTTAAGTACGGATTAAGAGAACGTAGGTATTAAAATTTGCGAAGTCTACCTTGCAATTGAGATACTTGTAAAGTGTATTGATATAGCATTGGTGATAAATGCGCCTTTCTGAACAAGCCGAGTGAATAAAAGTCGATATACCCGGGTGGCAAGAAGTTTAACTGAAAACACTAGTGAAAAATTGACTTTGACTCTTCAATAATATGTAAAAATGTGATGTATTGGATTCTATTTTAAACCTGATACTGCCATTCGATATAGTTTTCTATAACCGTGTCTATTAAAGGCGGAGGGTTTTTTAATGATTTTAAATAAAGTAATACAAAATATACATCATATTGCGTGTGATCTATATCTCGGATAAGTTTAACCCAATATAAAATCGAACATCGCTGTAACGAAAACGAAAGGATAGATATGGGATAGAAACATTAACGGATATATTTAAACGGTGTGATTTGGTTCATTTTTTCACTTAAATAAATCTGGAATATTACGGGATTTAATCGAAATGTCTGGTGAGACGGAAGGGTCTGAGAGACCTTACACGGTCGGGTCGTTCCAGACTAAGCTTGATCAGTTTCATGAGTTAATGAAAGAGATAACTCTCCAGGACGTGGAAGCTACACCGGAAGAAAAACGTCAAATGATCACAGGTGAGTCTATGGTGACGTAAATTGATCACATGTTCCATGGTGACGTCATATAACACATGTAAGTCCATAGTGACGTTAAATGGTCTCATGTAAGTCCACAACTCAAAGCATGATACGTGAAATATCACATGCAATTCCAGTACTCAAAGATCACATGAAAACCCAAAATTGACGTCAAATATCAAAAGGTAGCAAGTACTCTTTGGATCATTGAATTTCCCCCCGGACTCAAGAATCACATAACGCAAAGATCAAATAATTATGGTAAAGCCTGTTCCTTAATACAGACCCCTGATCTTCAAAATTTAAAATTAAGAAATTAATGTACTATGATCATTTATGGTTATTAAAATGCGCATTGAATAATCAGTAGTATTAGAACGGATGAAGAATTAAAATGACGTATAGAATTGAAAAATTAGAAAATTCTGAGATGATGTTATGATATCTGATATTATCAGATAATTATTTCATTTTTGATAATTTCTAGACTAAAGGAATTAAATTAGATTTAGGGAATATTTTAAATTACAAATAAAATCAAATGTGTTAAAAGTTCATGCTTGATATAAGTTTTATCTTTAAGAACCATGCATGACAAAGCAAATCGAGAAGAAAATTTAAATATTCCCACGATATACATATACAAATATTCAAAAATATTCAACGACAATAAGCACTGTGAATACTTTACAACAGTCCTTTTATAGTATCTTTATCAGTGTTAACTCTCAACCGAGTTGTTTAGTACAGCAAACAAACGATGGTGACTGGTATAAGACCACCTATATGTGCAACTCATTCAACTTGTTAGCTGTATTAGAGCAAATTTAAGATAAGAAAAACACCTTTGATTACAATATCGACTGTTGTCTAAACGTAAACGTCAAATGAGACTGAAGTAAAATTTGTGCAAGTACATATTAGTATCGGTACTGGTCGTGGCTAAGAGGTTAACGCGTCGGGCTAGTAATCTAAATATGGCTGGTCGCATGGGTTCAAATCCTGTAAGGGGCAAGCCGTTGTTGTCTTTCCCTTTGTCACAATCTATATCATTGTCATCTAGTGACTTCCTTTCTTTCTTCATTGATAAATGAAGACCCAGGCTTTCATTTCGTTTTAAGGTAGACCATGGGTAATGGGCACCTTAAGGAACTGTAAAATTGACAACATAGGACAGTTATATGTCTTCAATGTCACCTGTATGCAAAATTTAAATAAAATTTACCGTGTGGTTTATGAGTTATGGATATATTTCTGAACTAAGACTGCCATTAGAAGCGCTTATTTTCAGAAATGAGGACACTCTAAATAATCTACAATAACATCATTATAAAAATGTTTTCTTTTTAATCATTGTGTATTTATGTAACAAATCACACGAGCAAAATGAGTGTTTCTACACAAAATGTTTTAAATATGTATAGAAATGTTACCGTACCCCACCCACTTTAAACACTTAATTTTACCATTTCCCTATCTAAAATGCCTTATTCAAACTGTTCCTAAAATTTACCATAATGAGGGGCTGTTTTCAAAGTTTGCCTAAATTGTCTTAAAGGTATATTGGTTGATCATGCAAAATATAAAATACTTTTACCATGTAGTTTTTATTTTATTAAACTTTGAAAATATCTGGTATCATATTTGCTATAAATTTTGGCATTTTTTAGCAAATAAATACCTACAATAATTATGTAATTTAAATCAGACCTTTTTTTCTTCCATAAGGGATCAGAGAGATACGTAAATAATGTAAAAAAAAGAAAAAAAAGAAAGAAAAAAAGTTGCCCCTTCTGGGGTTTGAACCCACGCCCCTCAATTTCAATGTAGTTTGCAAGCGATTCTAGCCTATTTGAATACTCTTCAAAGTGGAGGTAATGCATTACCCATGGTCTACCTTAAAGGCCTTTTTCAAAGCTAACTTACAGAAGGAACGAACCATCGACCATCCGTAAACCTGCCGTGAATAATACGGACAAACTTATTTCGTATTATTTACATTTTGGCAGTGAATAAATTCACCTCAGTGAATCAGTTCTGGATAATAGGCTTCTTTGTTGATTACTATATAATTGTACAACGGTACAAAAAAAATATTTCAAAGGTTTCATAAAAGATGTATGAATGTTTATTTATTTGTTTTGATACATGTTTTCACGGTTATAAAAAGAGATTTATAACATAGGCCACACGTTATTGAAATAGACCTATCGAAATAAGTTTATGCATAAATCAAGTTATTTAAATCATTCATTTCATTCATTTATATCAGATTTAAATACAAGCATAAATAGACCCTTTCAACTACCATCTATAGTTAAATACGTACTTATTCATACTGCCAAAATATGCAAAAGCAATATTTATAAAATTCAAATTGATCTAGTACACTTACATGAATATAATCTATGATTTTGAGTACAGAATGGCAGTGGATATACCCTTAACTGTGTACTGAACCAATATACCAATGATTTACAAACACTTGAAATGTTACTTGCTCCCGTTAAACATATAAATCTTTATTATTATAATCTGGGTTGGGGGTTAATATTGTCCAGTCTTGTTTTTTTTTATTTGTAAAATATCCAAAGTACTTTGTTATACAATGCTCAAATTTGATATAAAATTTATTGATAATTGCTTCACAGCCTCTTTGTTAATATAAAAAGAAACATGTTCTGACTTTCCAAAATTGAAAGTAGATATGTTATGTCTAAAATTCTACACTAAGTTGCCACAGTATGAATATATAGTGTCATTAAAAAAAATGACCAATTTTACTTGTCAAGTAATAGGAAACGCAGTTTTTCGTACATAGTTTATTCATTATTTTATTCAAATTAAACATATTCAGTAAACATTTCATAGATTTTAATAATTCTTTGTGATTAAAACATTTCACTTAAAGATGAGCATAGTTTACCTTTAAATTTATGTACCTGATGTTGCTGTTGAAATAGGAATTAATCTCTCTAAGGGAAACAATTACATTGTAAGTGAGGGTCATGTTCCACTCTTGTCTTTAATCACAAAGTTTCAAGACTTTCCATTATACTTCTTTATTTTGAGCTGGGGGTCCTTTTCGTATGATAGTTCATTTAATTAATTTAAACGTGATTTAATAACCTATATGTAAAAGAGTTGTCTATAGAAAATAAAAGTAAAAAAAAATATAAATCTGTTCAGCATTTCATTAAAGTAAACTAGCAAAATCTAAAATAAACCTTGAATGTACTTTTCTTTCAATTTTGCAAAACAATAGACACGACTCTTACTTCTTTCTCTTCTTCACTTTTTTCCCCAACAGTGTTCAATTTACATTTACTTCCCTCTTGTTTCCCTATTTCTAAGCGTACATGTCTTCTTTGGCCATTGAAATTTAAATTACATTTTTGTATATAAATAATCAGTCAGAAATTGTTCAATATTTTTCAAAATTTAGATAACACGTACCATCAATCACATTTCTTATTGTTCTTTCTTATCTTACATCAAATTATTCGAAAACCAAGTACAACTTTCATATATGTTTTGTTACTTTTATCTAACTGATAGTTATTCTTGTATCATATGTTTTTTGTAACTTATTGCATAAGGGAAGACCCTTTTCTACTGTTGAGAAAATTTGTTGGTAAACTCCCTTGCCGAATACATGTATGTTATACAAATGTATTGAAACATCTCTTTACATGTAAGGTGGGTTTTTTTTAATGAAATATACATATAATTTAATAGATATTTGGAAAAAATGGAAAATTGTATCGTATGGCTTATTTGTAATAATTGTATCCGTAATAATAAATCTACTGTAAAAAAAATCATGACAGCGAGAATCTCATGCTTTTTAACCTCCGTCTTTGACCGTATAAAATCGTTTTTTAATTATTTCCGTACAAGACCACAATATATATATTTATAAATTATACTCAAAATAAATCGACAAATGTAATTAGAACTTTTTACAAACATATCCGACAATCTTTTTAGCATTCTGCGTAAGCAATCAAACTAAATTATCCCCTTTTTTGAAATCGAAGATAAGAATATTAGGAGATAATTATTTCAAACGATACTATAAAATTTTGAAATTATCGAGTTAGGTAAACACCGTGATTGGCAGAAGTATCAAGTTACATATATTTACATTGTGTAAATGGCTCCATTTATCAATACACCACAATCATAACGGGCATTTTTTGTAAAAGATATTCAATTAGTTAGACAGGGGGTCGATTTTCTCTCAACCATCGTTGGGTAACAATAAAATGACGATAAAATTGTCAATAAATTATCTGTAGCGGAATGTTAGTATCCTAGACCAGTTCATTTATAACTCTCGAAAATGATACCGTGAAAAACCTTGGTTTGCAGAACAGAAGCCGAATTGTTTAAACAGCCTTTCGTTTGTTTAATTTGCGAAATGTTAGCAGTAATCGCGGTATTGATCCAAAATGATTATTACAAATTTACCAATAAATCATTAACTACATAAATATTTATTCTTGTATCATTCTTAAGGGCACTTCTATATTTAACGAACAATGTTGAGCTAACAGACAGTGTATTAATGGGAAAAATCTATGGTATCACGCACCGAAATTACTAGGTATTCTCCTTAGTACACTGGTGACAAGTTTGTGTGCACAAAAAAGGTCCATGTATAAATGCTATATCAATGTAATGTTATATATTTGAAGTTTTTAAAAAATTGTGGGTAGACATGCGGAATCATTGCATGTTTTGAGAAATCAAAGATGGCCGCCAAGATGACCGCCAAATTACAGAATGCTAAATATATAATAAATTTAATGCAATGTCATCGTTACCAAAAATTTTACTATTATGTTTGGTTTCGCCACAGTTGAAACATTTTATTTTATTAATGATTGGAATGGGTGAAGTGTCTTTTTATTGTTATCAGAAAAGAATAAGAATTTCATATTTTACACATTTTCATTGTTTGGATATATGAGTATTAAGTCATAATGCCACAGATAGGAATTAAAGGGTGATGACTTCTATAACTATCTTCACGAGTCGACTTTTGTTTAAGTAAGTTGAATAGGATCATTAAATTATTGTATGAAAAATTGTCATGTCACAGGAACTACGTTCACAGTGAAAAAGAGGCAGTTTTTGAGGGTTTGATGTTATTGTTATTGTTGTTTCAAGTTGGTGTATGCAATTTAGAGTCCTTATTCAAAGGGTTTTAAAAACAACACATTTAGAATGAATTATCTAGTTTAATTAAGCTAAATACATCATTGCTTTCCATTTCACACCATGTTATAAAGTGGTGTTATTATTGTATTTCAGAAAATTTACGCTATGACCAATTTTGTGATGCAATACGTCAGTTGTTTGGCTCTGACATCAAGAATCAAGACCTTAAAGCATTGTACAGGAAAATTTCCACTAATCCTGATGCCAAAGTCGACTGGAGTGAGGTACGTAGTGTCTATAATTGGTTCAAATTAATGGTATAATGTCTGTAATCAATTCAATATTTGCTGGTATTTTCATAAAAAATCTTATTGTAAACTTCCGATAAAGCTTAACTTAATTAAAATCATAAGAAGAGTGGTTTAATATGTTTTCATATAAAATTTACATGCTGTATACAACACAGACTCTGTGACCATAAGAACTTGAAAACAGGTGATGGTATAGTTGAAATAATAATAATAATAATAATAATAATATACAATCAAAAGAAAAGAAAAACCATTCAAAAATTATTTCTGACAAATCAAACAATATGAGATGACCATTGTTTAATGAGCGCATCGGACATTCGCTCACGTTATTTTAAGAGCAGGATGGTTCAGACTACATTTTTCTATGGTGCCGACATTTATTGCTTACTACATTCCATTGATTTGAAGAAAAACAACATTTTGAAATTTAATATATACAGACAAAGTTAGCAGTATAGGTAATGATCTGAGCATTTATTAAAAAAATGAAATATAGGAGGGGAATTTCTACTGCTATTGCCGTTTTGCATTCTTGTGTTTTTTATAGTTCTTTTCTGCAACGCTTACCATTTCAGCCGCGGTCAAAGCTCTTTTTCAAATACATTGACGTTTTTCAGCTGATCCTTTTTAAGCGAATTAAAAAAGATTTGAAGTTTTAATAATTCATCTTGGTATTGTTAAGTCCTTTTAAGTATTTATGCTAAGTCAATTTGATAATGTTTTTTGTCAATAATTCAAACTAAGCTTTAACTAATCTTATTTTCAATGAAGCTCATTAACCTTTTTTTACATGAACTTCTATGATATTTAAAAGTGCTTTTAATGCCAAATGGTAGTTTCTTTAAAAACATCCTTGCATTTTTTATTTTATATTATGATGTATTCCTTACGTTTATCCTTTGAATGTCTACCAAAATGTACCTCTATTGTACAAAAAGCAACAACATAATTATTACAGTAAATAGAGTTTTACATACATTTTGATCTTTATACTTTGCGTGATGAACAGTTCATACTATTGCTTCACATTAGTGTCGGACAAAAGCTTTAATTGTCTCTGACTACATGTATTTATAGCTATTTAAATCTTATACTAAGATAACTTAAAATCAGTTTATAGTAGTATATTTCCTCGGAATGTTCTATGTAATCAGTCATCCTTTAATTAGTCGCTGTATGAGGCACTTAAATATTTTTTTGTGGCGGCATGGTCAAGTGGTTAACGCGTCGAACTAGTAATCTACTGATCGCTAGCCGCATGGCTTCAAACACCGTCAGGGACAAGTCGTTTCACTTATTGCTCAGTACTGGTTGATTCGAGGAACGGAATCGAAAGTGTGTCTATAAGCTTATAGCTTCATACACAATCGAACTAAAATAAATTCTTTATAAACCAAATTTTTTTTTTCATGAACTAAATGATTTTAACGATGGACTTACATATCAGACCGTGCAGTTAAACAAAATATAAAATAGATGTAAGTTTACAATAACTATTTTTACAGCTGTTCGGGTACATTCAAACCAGTGCGGAAGAGGCAGAAGAGATCATGGTTGGGGAAGAGGTCAGCATCTTCACAGTGTCGAAAAGAAGACGAGTCGGAGAAGCAGCAGGTAAGTTACCTAAAGAAACTGATCAGTTGTCCAGTGGTAACAAACTGCATAAGTAATCCAGGGTTGTCAAGTTCCAACCCCGCTCATCGACTATGAATGTTTATAGCTTTTCGGACGAGCACCTTTGTACTCAGTATACTACACTGGGCATGTAGTAGGGGCCTAATAGAACCATGGTCGCCTCCGGAACGGGGCAACTGCGGTATTATTCACTAGGTAGCAACTAACTCTGTAACGTTTCAATATGTGTAACTGCACGGGACAGTTATTAAACCGAAAGAAAAAAAGAAATATGTTCCCAAAACAGCTGAAAATATGTTACAACTGTGTTGTATACATGGTCAAATTATCAAAATAATGTCACGTCATATTAACGAAAGCATTTCAGATTTTTCTCCTTGCTACAATTCGACCATAGGAATGTATTTGCATTTATTCTCGGCCATTTTCAGTCTTTGCTCCTGGGCATGTTGCCTTGGTCCTGTCTATTTGTCCGCGCGTCCGAAATTTTACCAAAAATTCTTATTTACTAACATCTGGGATATAATATACATGTAATTGCATTTATGATATCCGAAAACTCCATTATTGATTGATTGATTGATTGATTGATTGATTGATTGATTGATTGATTGATTGATTGATTGATTGATACTACATGTTAATCTACAGTCTGACGTTGTTGTATCACCCTGTCACATAAACATACATGGATTTAATAGTAAATTTCACTAACGGAACATTATTTTTATCAATATACCAATTCTATATGTACGGAGATTGTGGTTTTCGTGTTCTGAAATTAACTTTTGAATTTTATTTACCCCACAGGTGACAAGAAAAGGAGAGACACAGTTCAGTGCCTACGATATGTTCCCACCATGGACTGTTACATATCATGTTCCCAAAAGGGAGCACTTGCCCTCTGGTCTAACAAAGTAAGTTGAGACACGGATTTGTAATATAAATCCGTGGTTGAGATTATACCTTGTGAAAATTAAAATGAAATATTTTTGAAAGTATTGGCTAACTCTTCATCAGAAACTGAATAAATTCTGTCTTTATTTTAGCGGGAGGTATTTTGTCACATATTTGGTTAAGAAACTTTTATTAGCAATGTAACAGGATTCCAAATTGAGATGGGAAAGAGGTCTATTCATTCCGATGTTTTTGCATAAAAGTTTACAGTTATATAAGGAAATCAATGTTATGACTTGCTTTGTATAATAAGTTTTGCAAATGATACTCGAAGTGGAACCTAAATATTTTTCGGTCAAAGGTAAACAATTAGTGGTATGTGACCCTGAAACATTTAGTAATATATAAGTTATTTCCCTTTTATTTGATTACCCCATTTGCAAAAATATTTTTAATCCACAAATGCTGCAATTTCAAGGATTTTTAACTGTGATAGTCTCATTCATACTTTTATGAAAATGTTGATAAGTATATCTTAAACTGTATTGATCATAAAGAAAAAAATAATAGTGCCCTATGATACCATACAACAACAAATATCCAAGTATAACCGGTTTTCGTGGGTGTACGATGGAACCAGGTACTTAAAATTTCAAATAATTCGTAGGAATGAAACAAAATAAGGTTAATGATTTAGTTTTATGATATTGGCTGTTGCATCTTTTCTTTAAAGTCTTAAAAGTTGATCAAAGGCAATTAGGTCAACCAATAATAATGTATTGAACTTGTTCAAAAAATTTAGAAAATTCAAATATGCAGTGATTTAACCCATATTATAAACTAAAAATTACCATGCCAAACGAAGTGATTTAATATACATTGGACTCTAGTTGAAGATCAGTATTACAATAAATACCTATGTGAATAGTATTAAGTAAGACAAACCTAGAAAAAATTACAATGATGTTGTTGGCAAGTGTGAGATACAATTGATCCCATGTTACATATATTTATACAGCAGATAATAAAATGTTCTAAGACAAAATATTATCACTCATCAGATAAATGTCCATTCTAAATGATACTTAGAACTTTATCAACATTTTATTAAAAGCAGTTTTTTACAAAAATGTATAAGAATAACCAAGTAATACATTTTTATTATTGTTGTTTTTTTTTGTTTTTTTTGTTGTTGTTTTTTTGTTTTTTGTTTTTTTTTATTGATATATGGAATACTTAAAATATGGAAAATGTGCCCATCACAATCCAAATTAAAACATACTCTACAGACAATACAATCAAATAGCACTTCTTTTTTTTAACTTTGCGTAAAAATATAAACATTTTTTACATATTAATTATTGTGTGTTTTTTTTTTTTTAAATTTCAGTTGAGACTTCAGGCTTGCATTGATATAAATGTAAGTATTGATACCACTTTTTGTTGAAAAGATATAAATAATTGGCACCATTAGCAAAAAAAGCTTTTTTTAACCCCTAATCTGCTGGAAGCAACAGATAAGCCATGTGACTAGGGCTGACCAAGGTCCTGGTCTTCACGTTCATTATTCACTTAGCATAATTTTTTCAATTTTTCTCCTAAAATGATGAATGGATTTGTCCAAATTGAAAAATAAACCAGTTTATTTAAGCCTTTAATCAGTTTAAGGGATATTTTTGAAAATTTCCCTTAACCTGATTATTATGGTTTTGTCCAAAATGAAAGATGAACAAGTCCATTTATTAAGATATTTAATTTAGCAGGTTAAGGATTAGTACCTTCATGATACTAGGTTAATTTATGAGATAGGCTGCATGTTGGTTTATATTACATTTAATTTTATGTCTGTATAATGCAGGGCTTTTCTTTACTTTAATCGCAGGGGTCAATTATATGCTACATACCTTCAGGAGAATTCTTTTTATTACATGCTTTTCGGTGGTTTATAGAAATATATCAGTGAAATAAAACTGGTAATTTCACTGTTTGAAACAGTGAAATTACCACTTTGATAATTTCACTGTTTTGAATTTAAGCCCCTTACGTTGTTTCAGTGAAATACCAGCGTGCACAGTACTGGGTACCAACTTAATGACGTGACGTCGTAAATGACGTCACGTTGTATTATTATTTGGCGCGCTTTTCATTCAGTATTAGGTTTAATGTCTTTTTAAAACGTTTCTTTGCATATAATAAAAAGAAAATTTGTTTTGTTTAGTGTAAGATCGAAATATATTTCACCTTGTGAACACCAAAAGTTCATATTTCACTCGTGGCTGCGCCACTCGTGAAATATACCTTTTGGTGCTCACTCGGTGAAATATATTCCGATCTTACACTGAACTAAACAAATATCCTCTATAAAATTACACATTTTTATCTCTAGACTTCAATTTACATTAAGTTGTTGCTACCTCTTTTGCAAAAGTACTGTGTTAATGTTTTCTCAAATTTAAGGGTAGGGCCACCCTACTTATGAAAAAGGTGTAATTTTCTGCACTCTGCAGAGCTTATGATACAAGATGTTTTATTATTTAAGAAAAATATTTTAAAAGAATATTATTTGATTTGCTTTGATGCTTAAAGTTATTAAACAGAAAACCACACTGAAATGCTTCAAATGCCAGAGAAATATGCCAAACCCATACTCATAATAATATGCCTATGATGACATGGTTGCACCCATGTAATATCCATAATTTTTTTGTTATATCAATCAAACCATTTGAATTGCTATGATTTTGACATAATTTTTTCTTTCTATTTCTCTATGACAAGACTAATTAATTGGACTAAATAAACCACAGAATCTCTTTCCAAATGTTCTGCATCATCTGGAAGACAGCTCATTTTAATATAGAAATTATCCTTTTACAAAGAAATTATTTAATTTAATAAGTATACCCACGTAAAAAAGATAAAGAAAATGGGATACATCTTCAGAATATTTGCAGTCACATACATCTTATTAATGTTTATGCCACTTGACATTTTATACAGTTATTAATGTTTCAATACTGTATTAAGATTTCAAAAAAATCCATGTCTCGAAAATCTTTGAAAAGTTTATGATATTGAAACATTGTTTATTTGTAAAAGAATGATTTCATAAATTAATATACTCTTATTTATTAATGTAGGCTTTGAATATTTAAGTATAACTGGTAATTAAAAAAAAACCTGTGGTATGACATTTAGATATTTCATTGACAGCAAGAATAGGCAGATGTTGCAGAAATGTTTTTTGTGTGCTTTTCTTTGTACAAAACTAGATTTTACCTACCTTCAAGGAGATGTAAAGTAAAGATATTTGTATAGCCTTCATTTAGGTGTGGTCGCTAGTTCAGAATAGGAAATTGGTCCAGATCCATTATATACAAATATGTAGTTACTTAGATCAAAGGTATTTTGCAAGATAATGTTTTATAAAGTACTTGCATCTGGGATTGTCATTCATTAGAACCTAAGATCAAGGTAACACTAACATAGGTCAAGGTAACAGGAATGGAATAAAGTATTTGGTTTTCATTAAACATTATTGATATGACTGAGGTATTGCAAGTTAATTTGTATTCAGTTTTTGTGTACCCTTGAAAAGGCGACATATAGGGGCTACTTTTGTCGGTGTCGGCGTCCCCTAAAGCTTGTCCGAAGCATAACTCAGTCACTATAAGTCTGGTTGACTTCAAACTTGGTATGTATGCTTCTTTCAATAATCCGAAGTGCAGTGCACAAGGACTGGTACTGTGCACTTCTTAATTTTTGAGTTATTGCCCTTTGGTAATGTTCTTCTGGACCATTTCCAACTCGCTGAGTTCTAGTTTTTTAATTCCATTAACATTGAATTTTAAAACTTTATATGAAATAAAATATGAAAAACTAAAATGCTGTTATGCTGAAATTAAAAACAATTGAAAATGTGGAGGACAAGTGGTTATCATTTAGGACTAAGTATCTAAAATTGCTGCCCATGAGATTCAAACCTAATTAAGGGCAAGCTGTTATTTCCTTGAGCAAAAAATTTAAACTCACTATTTAGTACTGGTTGGTCCCAGAAATGGATTGATGGGTTTGGCTATAAGCTTATAGCTTCATATACATTTCAAGTTTAAATTCTGTATAAACTTATTGACAATATTTGCCATTAGTTATATTTAGGCTATATCATTTCTAATTAGGCAAAATTTAGCAGAATGCTGGAGCAGTAACCAGCTCAAGTATAGCAGCAAAATTTAGCCGATTTTTGCTGGTAAAATATCATTCATAGAAGCATTTCTCATTACATTTTATAAAGCTATAAAACACTTCAAATATATTATTTACATTATCTTGAATTTATTTCAGTTCATATTATCAGTTTCATTAATTCTCCATGTTTGTAATTGTTCATTGATTGTTGGCAATAAATAAAACTTCAAAACCATTTATTGGGCTTAATTCAAGCTTTCAGCTAAGATTGCAGATTACTCAATATTGACATTAAAACAGAATAAAATGTTTCCCTTAGTGCAAAGCGTTTTGTCAGTATTACGTTAAACAAATTATATGAAATTCTAATTGTTTATAATGCAATGACATTATATAAAAAACAAATCAGTTTTGTGAGTGACAGGAAAGATATTATCCTAAGGAATGATATTTTGCTGTTACTCACAAACCTTTGTTAACCAGAACAAATACATTATTGCGACACTGTTTCTATGTTTTCATTTTTCAGATTTTTGTGAAAAAGTACTGTTATTATGTAACAGGGCAAAATTTTTAGTCACATGGTACACTTGAATTAACAGTAAGAGTAACTCCCATTGGCCTATGGGAAATTGACATTTCAAAAATAATGAGGACTCAGGAGTAAGAATGAGAAATGACAAATGGTTAGCCATAGATTGTTATTATCGTTAAGAACTGATGTAAAGTTTTTATTTTAAGATTATTAATTTATAAATGTTATGTGACAATAGGTTGGCATTACATTGTTATTATGTGAAAGAAATTATATGAAAATCACAATGTATTATGCTATGTGTAATGACAATAGCTTTTAATTGTTATCATTATAATTATGTAGGATTAGGATATGTATTTATATGAAAATCCTTTTATTTAATATCCTATATATCCTATGTGTAATGATAAAAGCCCTTAATTATTATCATGTGTAGGATTTTTATATGAATATCATATTGCTTGATATCCTATGTGTAATGACTATAGATCTTAATTATTACCATGTGTAGGATATCATATAAAAACACACAGTTTAATATCATATGTGTATTGATAATAACCCTTTATTGTTATCATGTGTAGGGTCCCATGAAAAAATACATTGTTTTATATCTTATGTGTAGAGATAATTGCCCTTAATTGTTATCATGTTTACTAGGATCTCCTATGAAAATCACATTATTTATTATCTTATATGTAATGATAATCGATTGGCCATGTGAATTAGGATCTCTTATGAAAATCACATTGTTTAATATCCTATGTGTAGAGATAGTTGCCCTTAATTGTTATCATGTGTATTAGGATCTCTTATGAAAAACACATTATTATCTTATATGTAATGATAATAGATTGGCCATGTGAATTAGGATCTCCTATGAAAATCACATTGTTTTAATATCCTATGTGTAATGACAATAGATTGGCCCTAGATTGTTCAGGGTAAGTATTATTCTGTGACAACTAACTTTTCTGTACTATGCTTTTATCTTGTTGAATGAGTGCTGTAGATTTGTCTTGTTAAATGATGTACTTGGAACTATTTTTCGTAATAATGGAATATTTTGAATGTTTTCTTATTTTTGTTTGATGAAATTTTTGGAAATATATATGGATGGGAGTTTTGATTAATCCTATTAATATGAAAAAAGAAATATAGCTTAATTATATTCTGTTATAAACAGAACTGTCCTGTTAATGTTAACATACAGATCTTATAGTTATGTATGTGTATACTAACAGTACAGTTCTGTATGTGTACACTAACAGGACAGTTCTGTATGTGATCATTAACAGGACAGTTCTGTATGAGTACACTAACAGGACAGTTCTGTATGTGTACACAAACAGGACAGTTCTGTATGTGTACACTAACAGGACAGTTCTGTATGTGTACACTAACAGGACAGTTCTGTATGTGTACACTAACAGGACAGTTCTGTATGTGTACACAAACAGGACAGTTCTGTATGTGTACATTAACAGGACAGTTCTGTATGTGTACACAAACAGGATAGTTCTGTATGTGTATACTAACAGGACAGTTCTGTATGTGTACATTAACAGGACATTTCTGTATGTGAACACTAACAGGACAGTTCTGTATGTGTACACTAACAGGACAGTTCTGTATGTGTACACTAACAGGACTTTCTGTATGTGTACACTAACAGGACAGTTCTGTATGTGTACACTAACAGGACAGTTCTGTATGTGTACACTAACAGGACAGTTCTGTATGTGTACACACATAGGAAAGTTCTGTATGTGTACACTAACAGGACAGTTCTGCATGTGTACACAAACAGGATAGTTCTGTATGTGTATACTAACAGGACAGTTCTATATGTGTACATTAACAGGACATTCCTGTATTTGTACACTAACAGGACAGTTCTGTATGTGTACACTAACAGGACAGTTCTGTATGTGTACATTAACAGGACAGTTCTGTATGTGTACACAAACAGGATAGTTCTGTATGTGTATACTAACAGGACAGTTCTGTATGTGTACATTAACAGGACAGTTCTGTATGTGTACACTAACAGGACAGTTCTGTATGTGTACACATACAAGAATGTCCTGTTAGTGTACATATACAGAACTGTCCTGTTAGTGTACACATACAGAACTATCCTGTTTGTGTACACATGCAGAACTGTCCTGTTAGTGTACACATACAGAACTGTCCTATTTGTGTACACATACAGAACTGTCTTGTTAGTGTACACATACAGAACTGTCCTGTTAATGATCACATACAGAACTGGCCTGTTAGTGTACACATACAGAACTGTACTGTCATAACTATCCTGTTAATGTACACATACAGAACTGTCCTGTTAATGTATACATACAGAACTGTCTTGTTAATGTAAATATAATCTGAGCCGCTAGGCCAGGGTCATATTGCAAACAGCCGTTTATATAGGGCCATATAACCTGTCAACAATCTTTATAACGAATTTATTATGTAGCAAGCATCATTTTTTACAGAAAAAAGTTAAATTTCGTCATGAATTGAAAGAAGATGTGTATATAAAACTATATAAACGTCATGATTATCCAATGAAAAACGACGTTACAAACATGCAATATTATAAATGTATATGTGGTAAATTGTTTTCTATAAAAGCAAGATATTGTACCACCAAGTGCTAGAATTTCTCTCTTCTAGAGATAATTAGATTGTACATTTTATGTTCAACCCAGAGAAAGAAACTGAGTTTAGTTTTTAGCTCTTGCAGCAAAAGATTTTTTCTGTAGTTTTTCAACCGGTATCTAAACTGGTGAAGGTTTTCTTTTACAGAAGTTTTGTTGCATTTTTTGTTTTCTGTTCTTGTGTAAATTTTGATTGTTTAATTTTGTTTTTTCAAGTTGAGTTCTGTTTGTGCAAGATAATATTTGCTTTTATTTTTATGTTCATGTTAATATTTGCTCATGTTTGAAATAAGCTAAAGTGATCTCTAACTATCTGTCTTTAAAAGCCATATACCAAATTGTAGACATGGTAAAAAAAAATGTAACTTTTCGAAAAAAAAAAATCCTGTTTAAAAACTGATGATCTCATTTACAAATAATTGTTGTCCATTAACCAGACATTCGAATCATTTGTAATAACATTTTAAATAGGAAAAGAATAAAAGCTTAAGATATATCAAACAATATGCTCACATCAGAAATTTCTGCCAATTGAACTATCTACATGGACTGTACAATGCTCAGGTGAGCAATACCAGGTCATCAAGGACATCTTGTTTAATTCAAATTAGGAATTGATTTATTCAGGGTTTTGTTTAAAACTACATTTGTACTGTATTTAAACTATCAAAATTATAAAAAGGTATATTACATGTTTGTAGACTACAATTAAATATAAACCCATATATGACTGGTTTATATTTGTGTGTCTGATTAATTAACTTGATCAAAAATATATAATTTATGGTTCTTAGTTGAATTTCCATAATGTCAGTGAAACCAATGTCATGTTACAAAAAAAGAATTAGAAAAAAAGAATAGAGATATCAAATTTTTGTCATCATTTTTGGATTGGATATTTTGTTCTTTAAATTTAAGAATATAAAGAGTTTAAGACTTGTTGAAATGGTAGACAGAGTGGTATAGTGTAAACTACAGACCAATACACAAAAATTTACCAGCTAAGTCATTAATCAAAGAGATGACTAAATAAAATTTAGATGTTAAATGAATACACGATTTCTCCTTGAATTCTAGGAAGCTGCCTGGGTGACAGGGTGTGACTACTTGCCAAGTATTAGAAGAGCCTCGTGCTGCACGGAGAGAAGTATTATCATCTGGGACAATAGGTCAAAAGGAAAAAATCAGGTACAGTATTTAAATAGAGGTTCATTTATGCTCAAATTCTGTATATGAAAATAAAATATGATATTTTTTTTCAAAATATATGAGTCTCATTTGTTGTCAAATTTTACATAATTATGAAAAAGAATTCTAAGCAAAGGCACCAGTTCAAAAATTGTGACAATTTAATCTGAGATAATGTTTTCATTTATCCAGAATAGAAATTACAGATTAAACAAAGAATCATTGCACATAATTCCTTGTGCACAATATTAACTTAATTTATGTGCTTGTCAAGTGATTTAGCATACAGTTTTTGGTGTTCATACTTAGATTAGTTCATATAGATTAACCTAGGTAGGGCCATATAGAATTTCCCTTGTCCATCTAACATGCTATCATGCTGTAGACAGACAAAACTGTGCAATAAATGAATATTTGGGCATCTGTATCCTATTGACACATATCTAGTTTGTAAAGATTTATGAAGCTAAAATTTGATTGTAATATATCTTTGAATGAAAAATAGTAGTAGCATTTTAATGTATAATATCAAATGCTGTACTAGCTCTTGATAATATATAAAATAATTGTGTTATTTATTTCACCAATGCTTTATTCATAATAAAGGTCTATTTAATGTAACAATATTGAATTTTATTTGATTAAAAAAACACACACACACACTTGGGCTTTCTCATTTTCCCTCCTTAATCTACTAAAATCTTTCATTGTTTTAAACTGCTGACATGTTTTTAGCATAACAACTATCTTTTTGCCCACTATCATATTTATGTAATATTGCCCACTATCATATTTATGTAATATTTTACAAACCTGTCAATAACCTGTCTGTCAGTAGATATGGGAAATCTCTTCTTTTTTTTTGGTTATATTCATGTTAACTTTAAAAAAATATTTTTGTCAAAAACTGCTCCAAAATTAAAAATTATTTGTCATGAATGAAGATTTAATCAAAAATATTTTGTCAAAGACTGCATTTAAAATAGTATCTACTTGTTTAGATAAAAGAGAAGTATTTTCGGCACTACCCATTTTGCTGCTGTCATGTCATTCAATACAGGGTGTGGTAGAATTTCCCTACCATGAATACTGAAATGAATCCTTGTTAAGAACTATTAATCAGATTTTTAAATATGAAACCAAGTAATTAGAAAAAGGAATTACACTTGCAATTTTAACTTATTTTGATCAACCTGTTCCAGTCACATAATAACCTTTGTCAGGATAATAGATTAGGCAGTTTTTTTTCTTCAAAAAGTTGTTGCCATTAGTCACATGTAACATGATGTTGTTACTGAAAATAGTACATAATCAGTTTAACATAATAAAAAAACAACATTGATTCTCACTAAAAACTGTATTAGCGAAATTCAATCTGTCAAAAACATTTTGTGCAAGTGACATTATTAACTGGCCAGTCATAATTGTTGATTGCCAGCCACAAAGAAACAAAAAAGTGTTTTAGAATATGGGCTAATGATATATTAATTGATTTCTCCTTTTAATTTCAGCATGTTTTTGCCATCAAGCCGTTCGACCATTCACCACAATGTATGGTCAGTGTTCCGAAGCCGGGTTCAATCCACGAAGATCGTATATTGTTCGGAGATGATCAGGGATATTTGAATATACTCACAGTAGCAGCAAAAGATCTCACGATGAAGAACTCAAAAGGTGGCGAAAAGAAACCGGCGAAGGATCAGAATATTCTACATGTTATAGAACCTAACAGACTCACTGTGTATGTTTAATTTACAGTCTTTCTTATTTCTTATTGAACCCTTAACCTGTAGAAACTAAAAGTGATTAGCCTTAAGTTTAAACTTTATTTATTCAATAAATTGTACATAAACAACATTTAAAAATCTTTCACAACAACGAAATTTAGACTGGATTGGAAAACAAGAAAAACAATAATTATATTAATTCCGCTGCAGTAAAAGTGAATTATTTTCTATGAAAAGAAAGCCATGGCAACTTGGACTTCTGCTAATTTATCTGAATTTCTATATCAAAGTCTGTAATAGTCCTTTCCAAATTAAAAAAAAAGCTTATGTCTTTTATAAGATTTAAGAAATGTGCAGGTTCTTGCATATTCTTAGTTTATATTGTAAGTCATGTTTCTTGTATACTTTCAGGCCAATGGTGAGAAGAAAAGTTCATGATGACTGGGTCACTAGGGTAAGTATATGTAAATCATCCATGGTTAGTCGGTTAATAGTTAAAATGATTTTATTGGCTTAATTTTACAGTATATTTAATGGCTTGATTATAAAGTATATTCAATGGTTATAATTTTATAGTAAATTAAATGGCTTGATTTTACAGTATATCTAAAGGCTTATTTTACAGTGTATTTAATGGTCACTATTACAGTATATTATATTGCCTGATTTCACAGTATATACAGTATATTGAATTGATTGAATGTACAGTATCAATAATTGCTTGATTTTACAGTATATTTAATGTCCTGTTTGACAGTATATTTCAGTGATGGTTTGATTTTACATTACTTTTTAATGGCATGATTTTGTTTGTCTATTTTTCAGGTAAAATATTTTCCAGAGTTACATTGTTTTGCATCATGCTCCCCAAGCAGTAAACAGTCTTTTGTTTTAGAGGAACTAGACAGGATTTATGATAATGTGTAAGTTGATATTAACTTGTTAGTTTATTATCAAAAGATATTCCTTGTATAATTGAGGACCCGAAGTCCTCCTTTAAGTTTTTATTATGTTAGACATACTTAGCTTGGTCATTTCTTGAATTAAGGCAGGTTTTAAAGGACCAGCCAGAAAGAATTAAGAATGAACTAACTGAATGTAGCAGGGTGTCACTTAACATGTTGCAGGGGGATTTACTCAGTTTCCAGGTCAAAATGAAACCCCTGGTGATGCTGGCAAGTCACCATATGACCATTACAGGGTTGGTGAGCCTTAAAACCCAACCGAAAATATTAGTAAGATTATGTATTGGATGTAATTTTAATGTCTAGACAGATAATTCAGGATGGACTCCTACTTATATATTTATGTCTTTTTATGACAGATTTTCAGGGAATTTGTTATATGATTAGTATAGAAATATGAGAGGATATCAGTTTAAATTAAGTTTAGATATTAGGTTAATTAAAGTTGAAGGTATTAAATAAGATTTAATATGACAGATTTGGCTTTTGATGTTGTGATTTTTATGTAAAAAATGCTGTCTGTCATATACTTCTTATGAAATCTATTTTGAGTAGTCTACAAGATAATGTCACTTGTTGTACTTTTACTCTGACTGCAAATGTCAATCCATCGTTTTCTCATGACATGATGGTTATCATATTCATTAGAAATATCAACATTACCATTACATTCATCATCTTATATTTATAATCATTGCGATAATCATCTTCATGTTTATCATCATCACCATCATCATTTTCATATAAATCATCATTTAATCATCATCATCATTCTCATACTTATCATCATACTCATCATCATCTTCATATAATTCATCATAGCCATCATCATCTTACTTTTATCATTGTCACCATCGTCATCTTTATATTATCCATCATTATCATCATCATTCTCATATTTATCAGCATAGTCATCATCATCTCCATATTTATCATCATCCTTCATCATCTTATATTTATCATCATTCCATCATTATTTCCATATTTATAAGTATTACCATCATCATTTTCATGTTTAAATGATATGAACATAAGTATACTGTTTTTATCATTGATATGATAAAAGAAATGAGACAAGAACAATATTCATGTAAAAATATTACTGTTCACAGTGAAGGTGGTCATATGCCACACAGGTTAGTCATACATTTGTTTCCATGAATGAAAGATAAGTAGTATAGGTATTTTCTTATTATTTTTTTTCTCAATTTCCCTTCCAAACAGTGAGGTTGTCTTAAAAGATTTTCTGTCATTTGTTTTGCTAAAGTGTTGACTTTAGTCATGTGACTTAGAATGCTAAGTGGATGAAGTTGAAATAGTAGCACTTGCACCTCATTCCTGTAGGTTTCAATTTCGTTAAGAAAGTTGGATAACTATATTTTCTATGCAAGAAAGCTATCTAGGTACTACATCTACCTTGTTCCCTGCCTGTTAATTGACCCAAAGACTGCAGATGGCAACTTATTTTACCTTTGTTAACAGTGCAAACTAAGATCAGCTGGCACATCTGTGTTGTCCAAGCATGGTCTGTACTGTTCGCTATTCAGTAAGGACAATATTTAGAAACTTTCCCTGAAATGGTTTTGTCCAGGTTGAAAGATGGACAAGTCAATTTAAGATATTAATCAAAGCATGTTAAGGGTTAAAAGGTCAGCAAAATCTGATTTTTCCTTACTTGTCCACTTTATCTGAAGTATTTCTTGACTTGTCCATATATTTATATAGTAAATGCTGGAACATTTCCACTTGTCCATACAGGCTGTGTAACAACCTAGAAAATACAGACAATTGTTTTTGCCTTCCCTGCAGGTTAAACACTGCATTAGAGCCACCTTGGATCTGCCTTAAACATAAGAAATAAAATTAAAAAAAAAAACAAATAAAAAAGCACCAGAATTATGTCACATGACCACAGCAGTGTTAGTATGACATGTAGGGAATATATTCTTTCATTAGATGAGTTTGAAAATACCTATACTGTAACTTTGATTAATTATTTACATAATTTGTACTAATTTTCACTGCATGATATTATATTTTTTCTGTTTGATTCACATGTTTTTTGGGGTTTTTTCACCAATTACAACAAATAAGCAAAAACAGTTTTAGTAGACTAGACTTCATATTTATTTTTTCAGTCAATAATCGATACAATATTATTCAGTTAGAACCTGCACATTGTTTTTCAGTAATTTATATTGGGCCTCTCTGGCCATTTTGTGATAGTTTCGCTGACTTCAAGTCACTTTAAATCCTTCATTGCTGGTTCAAATCCTGCTAGCAACTTGGGACTCTTTCATGGGAGACAACAATCCAGCTAGCTTATTAAAAGTTGGTTGTTCTACTCATGTGTCTGAAATAATGCACGGTGTCATATGAAGTCCTTTACCTTAACCAATCAATCAACCAATCAAAATTTACCATTCTTAGTGACCAATTAGACAAGTCATTTAAAATACATAGTGTAAATTTGGCACAAAAACCCAGTGTTGTTACTCGAAGTATGTCTGATAATAAAGTAAAAATAATAACAAAGAGGGGATTGGAGTTTGAAATCCAATATGTGTAATATTTTCCCTGCACCTGAGAAACCAAAACCTTATAATATTTCACTGTATGTCACCAGTCTTACAGGATAGATTTCTGAAGCAATCCTGAAGTTACTGATAGGTTGCAATGAGATATTGCAATGCTTTGAGATTTTCTGTTACTTAATATTTTTATCCAGTAGATATTGAATGTTTTGCTTTAAACCTATTTATTTAAGCTCTTTTGGAAACAAGTAATTGCAAATTATATTAATCACTTTCTATGTCCGCTTCCTGGAATCAACCAGACTGATCATATGTCATATGTAGAAACATGGTGTGACCCAATTAGGGCTTGAACCCATGATCCCTAGCTTGCAAGGCAAACACCTTAAAACACAAGGCCACCACTCCCTTTAATGTTTTGAATGTTTTATTTTGATGATTTTTATTAACAAACATTCTCACATAAAGTAGCAATGCCTAATTTTTCAGCAGGATGCATGAGTTTTACTGTTTTAAGCATTTTGATGATTTTAGAAACGAATTTTTAGCAGCTTTAATTTTTCTAGTAGGTTCACTCGTATTTAGTAACATTGAATTTACAACATCTAACATAAACTGAAAGATCTGCCTGTTTAGCTCAATCAAGAGAGCATCAGATTTCTTATACAGGGGATGCTGGTCCGATCCTCTGGCAATTGATCTCCGACATTGAGTCTAATGGTCTTTAACTATTTTGGTTCTCACCACTGATTCAGAAATCAAGTGGGATTAGTAGTCAGACACTTGAGGAGAAATTGGTAATGACTGATTAACTATTCAGGGAAGCTGGTTAGATGTACTAACCAGCAAGAGATGGTTAAAAAATGTGTTAAAAACAGCATGAAAATAAAAAAAAATTAACTGAAAGAAAGGTTATAGATATATAATTATTTACAACTGATTGAATGCGCACAGATTTTACCTGTACACCACTCAAACGTGATTTATTGTATGATGTACCCTATGACTGTGTGTTTTAATTACAATGTATTTATAATGTGAATTTACCAGTTTATCACATCTTAACTTTTGTAGAGATTTTTTTTGTTTCTTAAATGTGTGTACAGACAAATGCACTGAGTATCATTAAAATTTTATGTATAATTATTTATCATAGCACTAACCCTTCTGATTATGTATAATGGACTCACCCTGGTTTGAATTTGGAACAGTCCATAGTGTAGTTAAAAAGATTTCAGAATTAAAATACTTTGAGTAGCAAACAGATTTGCTGGAAAGCCATGTTAATGCTTGTGGTATATGTCTGACATTGTCATCATTGAAGGTTAAATGGTTGGAAAAGACTCTTTAGAGGACCTGAATGTTAAGCAAAAAAAATTTGTTTTGTCCATTAAATGTCAAAATCATTTAACCAATTGATTAAGTTCTTAATCATTTACTTTTTCATGCTAAATCCTACCCTCAAATTTATTGATATTAATATTATCATTGTCTGTTTTGTACAGGGAAATGCGAGGTGTTTCTGTACATAAAGGTGTAAACGCCTTTGACTATTGTGCCAAAGCTAACATTATAGCGACTGGAGGTGTTGACAAGGTGATACGTGTATGGCATCCACATATATTCTCCAGACCAACAGGTAAAATATCTATATAGCTTATCTTTATATTAACAGGTCTTTATTTTAATACTGTCTCCGCATGTTTAACGATTTTTTTATCCTGTTAATTTGAAGAATAGTGGGGCTTACTCTACTCACTCTTATATCTGCATCAATGTTGGAGCGACTCCGGGTTTTTAACCTTTTACATGAAACTTCTTTCCTTTTTCAACACTGATGCTTTTGTTTCACCCTTCATACATGTCTTCAGGACCATGAGTGTAAGTTAATGGCCAAGACACATAACTCTTGCATAATTATGTTTTTACTTAATTATTC